ATGAATAGAAAAATAAAAAATGAAATAAATAAAAATGTTAACTATAAAAATGGAAAACAAATGAAAAATGTTAACTATAAAAATGGAAAACAAATTAAAAATGTTAACTATAAAAATACACCGTACACTGAAGCGTTCATGGACCTGTTAATATAGTCCAGGGACCCAGTTATGTCTTATTTATTGAATCCATGCAGGGAAGGGGAGTGTTTCCATGGACTAAAACGTTAAACCCACCTATGCCCAGTCACAAGCCTGAGGAACCTGCTTTTATATCTAATGTGGATTTTTATCTTACCAATCATGACTTAAATATTAATATGGGTATTTCCTATAATTAATATATCAGGTGTCCCAAAAAAAAATGAGCCACTTTTTGACAAGTATTATCTCGGCAACTGATAAACCAAATTCACTGAAAATTTGTTCAAAATAGCCTAAGAGTATCCTTAGCAATTTGTAAAAATATAAAAAAGACCAAGTAAATATTCTGTGAGTTCTAAGAAATTCAAAACAGCATGTTAAAAATTCCCATACCGGAGCTCTGATATGAGACTTCAAAAATGTTTGTACCAGCTATCATCTTCGCACTGCGTTCCATGGGAGCCGAGTGATGTCTGATTAATTCTTTTCATTCATCCCAAATATCCAAAATCCAATTTATTCTCAAATTCATTGGAGGTGATATTAGAATAAATACGGAAAAGTATTTTTGCTTGGAAATGGATTAATAAGGGACTTTTACATCGATATTGGTTATTTTGACATACTGTCTTTAATTCTAAAATACACACATAATATGAGATCAATCTCTTACATATTTATGGCACTAGCAGAGGATAACCTAAAGTGCCTCAGGTAAAGTTCTCAAAGAATTTGGCTTATCTATTGATGAGAAATTACTTGTTAAATTGCTTCTCATTTTTTGGGTAGAAACGCTTTAAAGTTCTCATTGTGTTGCTCCGGTATGGGCTATTATGACTTGCTAACTTGAATTTCTTAGTACTCACATATCATTTACTTGATCTTTTTCATATTTTTATACCTTGCTACCGATACTCCTGGGCTACTTTGTACAAATTTTCAGTGAATTTGGTTCATCAGTTGCCGAGATAATACTTGTCAGAAAGTGGCTCATTTCTTTTGGGACACCTGATATACTGGATTTTAACTTACCAAATATGACTTCAATATTAATATGGGTTTAAACCTATAATGTATTAAATACTGGATATGACAAGTAAATAAAATCAATTATAATCTACCTAAATGATGTAGATATCCAAATGTTGGTCTGAATTTATCTTTGTGGAAAGATTGTATGCTTCAGTTGCTCTTTAACAAAACATGTGGGACAGTGTATCTATATATTACAAGACGTCCGTCTGTCCGGGCAATAACTCAAATACCGTTGGCCCGATTTTGTTCATATTTTGTACACATATACCCTATGGGAATAGAAGTTCTGCTAAAAAGCCGATTTCCAAAATGGCCGCTCATTTAAAAATGGCGGCCATTTTAGTGCCGATTTTACAGTAATTTAGGTGCAATATGTAAAACTGTGATAGCATTATGTTTTAAATGTAAAAAAATTATATAGGACATTGATAAAGCTAGAAATGTAGAAATTAAAATAGCACATGGCAGCCATCTTGAAAAATGGCGGCCTTTACTCGTTATTTTACGATTTTTGCTGTAACTCAAGAAGTATTGGAGCGATTTTGTTCATATTTGGTATGTGAATACTATAAGCATGGCTCACTGTCTAATGACACTTTTGGTAGGAGGAGGCCATTTTGAAAATTTGCCGCCATTTTGAAAAATGGTCGCCATTTTAACATATTTTACTTTAACTCAAAAAGTAGTGGAGCGATTTTGTTCATATTTGGTTTGTGAATACTATAAGCATGGCACACTGTCTAATGACATTTTTGGTAGAAGGCGGCCATTTTGAAAAATGGCCGCCATTCTAACGTATTTTACTATAACTCGAAAAGTAGTGGAGCCATTTTGTTCATATTTGGTATGTGAATAATATAAGCATGGCACACTGTCTAATGACACTTTTGGTAGAAGGCGGCCATTTTGAAAAATGGCCACCATTTTAAAGTATTTTACTGTAACTCGAAAAGTAGTGGAGCGATTTTGTTCATATTTGCCATGTGAATACTATAAAAAAAGCATATTACTTCTTCTGATGACAAAAAATGGAATTTGAAAAATGGCCGCCATTTAAACGTATTTTACTCGGCCTTTACTCGTTATTTTACGATTTTTGCTGTAACTTGAAAAGTAGTGGAGCAATTTTGTTCATATTTGGTATTCAAATACTATTAGCATGGCACACTGTCTTATGACACTTTTGGTAGAAGGTGGCCATTTTGAAAAATGGCCACCATTTTAAAGTATTTTACTATAACTCGAAAAGTAGTGGAGCGATTTTGTTCATATTTGGCATGTGAATACTATAAAAAAGCATATTACTTCTTCTGATGACAACTTTCTTATGTGTGTTATTTTATGATATTTGCTATATATTTCGTTTGTAAAAATGCCAGCTATTTCTGTTCGGTGGGATTCGCTACGCTTTGGCGTTGCCGTTGTTCTGGTTTATAACACTAATTCGCAAGACCAAATAAATCTCCCACCACAAAGGTCAAATCGAGGTCAATGTGACTTAGGGGGTGCCAAAAATGTTATATTTCCTAAAACAATAATCTATTATCTTTCAAATGAAATAAAAATCTTGGTAATAGCTTTTCTAGAACTGAAATCGATGGAACACGTATTCGAATAATCAACATTTTCAAGTTGTTTTTGTCTTTAACATTCATATTTCAAGAAGTACTACCAATAACAATTGATGATTTAGTAAGAAAATAGATAATTGCTGACTTAACTATAATTTCTGTCTATGATTTTGCCTAGCAACGGAATATAAATCTATATAGTGAAATTGAAAAATTGGGGGTAGGGGAGAATAAAAAAATATACATTTAATTTAAAGAGGTTCATCATTATAATTAAACGATACCACAGTTTGCATAAGCATTACAGAACATGCGCAAAAAAATTGCAAAGGTATTCATCAAGTAGTTTTTGAAAAAAACTTTTTTTCTCAAATTCGTGAAGAGAACGCGAATCACGAATATTTGACGAAATTGTATTTTAGTTTTAAAATCCATAAGATAGTCAATAGTGGCTCGATTATCATGAAATAAAGCATGTTACTTTGCATTTTCTACAGTATTAGAACTGTAGAAACAAGGTAACTTTCAATATTTTATTTTTCAAAAAGTGTCATTTATCTGTGGCCCAGATTAGAAAAATAACAGAGGCACAAAAACCATGCAAAAGAGTACTATTGAAAAAAACGAGCATATCATATGGTATCCACAAAACATTTCTTTAGGCTAGTGTGCTTGAGATTACTTTTGCACAATACAATGAGAAAATATGAATAAAGAACATAGGAAAATTAATAAGCCTTTTATTCTCACTTTTCAACAGTACGCACTGGCGTTTTGGCGTACATTGTTCCTACGCCACTGTTATAGAATGTGGCTAATAATGCTCCAAGCTCAGCCACTTACACATGTATTGTAGTATTCTTTGTACAATAAATGAATAATTTCATAAAAAATTTTTTTTATTTGATGGTGATATGTTGAACCACTTAGTTTGGCCTGGTAGTCCTGGTATTTTGATGTTTAATTGTAAAGATATCTATGTATTATTTTAAAGGATGTATATATTTATTTTTATTATTTTATAGAATGATGTTGGCTTGATACCTCGCATTTGTCAAGTAAGTAATATTTATCCAGAATTGATGATTAAATATACATATGGCATTTGTTGTAAATATACGAAACAATGTTTATTTATATTCAAGTGATTAATACAGGACAACAATGACCATGTACAGGGTGGGCCAAAAAAACGCCACTTTTTTTTCAAGATACTATAACTTTTTTATTGTCCAACCTACATACCCCAAGTTTTGCAGTTATATAGTGCCAAGGGTTCTTAGTAATAATATAATGTAACAAGAGGAGTTCAATTGGTCCGCCACCATATTTGATGATAGATTTTAGTTTTAGTCGCCTTGCTGATATAACAGTATCAATGAAATGTTAGCTAACTTTTTTTCACCATGTCTTAATTGTCAGCTTTAGTTGAGCAATTTTTTAGATTGGGTGCCTTCATACCATCTCCTGGAGACCTTCCCATACCCTATACTCACCGGGGTTTGCATTAGGGCTATTAGCTTGGTGGTCATCAGGGCGTATTAGTTCAGGAACATTTTGCAAATTATGCTCGTTTCTCATGGCACACCACATGTTTAAGTGAGACGCTGGTGACATATGTTATTCAAGTAAAAGTGTATAATTCATGATCCATGGCTAGATAACAACCTCAAGTTTCATTTGATATGCAAATCATGATTTTTTATCAAAAATTAAAAAAGTTATAGCATTTTGAAAAAAAAGTGGTGTTTTTTTGGCCCACCCTGTATAGTAGGTTCTTCTGATTTACAGTATTTCAAAGTTTGTTCAATCGTGTGATGAATTAATCAGGAAAAACTCTTATTCTTGATACTTATACTATGATAATAGAATACAGGTTAGCTATGATTTCAGGGTCTTTTCAATGGAATGAGGAATCAAGAAGAAATAGGCACCAACTATAGAACAGAAGTCAGGTATGTATATATTGTATTGTATTGCATTTTGTTGTATTGTATTTTCTTTATTGCCAGTGAAGGTGAGTAATACACGTAGGGTATGCATCCAATATTTACATATTAAATGCAAATAATCCTGGAAGACCAAGGTACCCTTTCTTGGAGATGTCTATTGTTATTTTTGTGCATTGATACATAAACATACAAATACATGTTCATATCAAGGCCATTTTGTATGAATTGTGGACCACTCCGTGAAATGTCCTGTATTAGTTAACTTTAGGATTAGTAAACTCTTTAGGATTGTCCCAGTCTATCTGATAATGATTGTTCATATTTAGAACAAAAAGTCCCATCTGTCTGTTTCCATCACTCTTTCTGTTTTGCAAGAGTTTAAGGTGACACACCAAGTCGAGTAAGGAGAGGATTTGATAGAAATTGGTTGGAGTCACATAAGATAGAAATTGTTTTCATTTTCATTTTGTACTACAAGATGGTACGCATCCATCCAAGTTAATATTTTGTCTGTCACTGGGATATACCCTGCCTCTATATAGAATGGATAACAGAGTTCATCAATCCTGTTCGTCAAGTTCAACTGCATTACACCACTTTGTGGATATTTATATGGATGAGATGCGTTTGAGCCTCGTCCTGTCATACCAGATAGATCACTGTACCTCATTCGCTCTCCAAGGAAAGTAAACATATCAATCATTGTTTTGTGAGTGTATTTAGCAAGGTCCTCATAGCGCACTTGCATAAACATATCAGGGTAGATTCTTTCAAGATCCTTTCTGATTATGATATCTTTGAAAATACGACTGCACATTTGGTGAACCTTTTCTTGTAGTAGCTCCCTGGAGAGATTCTTCAATCCTGACCACGATGCTGAGTACCACGAGTTGAACATTGCTCTGGGGTCGCGAACCAGATGAATAACTTTGATATTATTTGTGCATTTCTGATTGGCTAAGAATGATGCCACTCCTTCCATTGTTCCTCGAACTGTTTTTGTCAGAAGGACCTGTTTGAATTAGAAAAAATGGTATATTTATAAACTGCATGTATGTTCCAAATGATCGATCATGCCAATTACGCAGCATTAAAGAAAGAATCAGATCTAGTGAGCAAGCTAAAAATTGTTTCAATTTTAAAATATTCCTTGTCATCGGGCTTGTCATGCCTATTTTTAAAAATACCCGAACTGAATACTTTATTCCAGAAAACTAACGATTTTTATCATAATGTAAAATGTTTCTATTTTTATGGTTATCATTTGGGAGAATTTTAACACCTTTTTCTCAATTTTTGCACTTTGAATCCTTAATTACTTTAGATTGTGAATCTTTTGGGAGATATTGTATTTGCGATGGTAAGGAATAGATTGGTGAGCCAGTTGTACATGTTTTTTGTTGGCAATTTTTCACCTCCTATAGATCTGATTCTGCCTCAATCTAAGATACAATAATATAGCCTGACATGGTATTTGATAGAGATCGGTTGTGATAATCAAGCTGAAATATTTTTAACTTAATATATAGCATAAAAATCAACAAGGATATACATCTAACCTGCTGCATTGCATACTGACCTTAGTCTTAGTTTCATCTTCACAAATGTTCTTTGCAATGTTGATACACAGTCTGTAGTGAGCCGATCTTGTCATATTGTCATGTTGCATATTATGGTAGGCTTTTATGCAGTCAAAAAATGGATGCATATTTGAGGACACATAGTAACCATTTACGCCAGTTGTCAAGATCTTGTCTGTAAAAGCTATGAGGTTTTGGAGTTCACAGTTCCTGTAATCCATCAATGTTTTCTCTTCCTTCCTCACCATATCAGGCTCTGGTTGGTTAGTCCTCGGATACTTCATGATCTGAAAAGTCAGTCATGAGTACATAGGCTGCGTTTGCATCTGTGACAAATGGCAGGTAGTGACATTTTGCATGTTTATGCCTTGTTTATCATGTTTTATTCTAGTACTTTTGTGACATCATTTCACAATAACTTCCTTGTTTAGTGTCACTTACTAAGGAAAAACACTTTTTGTGTGTTCATAAAGATATAAAGGCCTTTGGATGATCAATACGAATATATACACTATTGATATAGTATACACTTGATTGGAAGGAAGCATTCACTGTTCTAAAGTATTGTTGTGGGACATAGTTCCCCTTCCATGTGCATTATGTCATAGAAATGACTGTGCCAGTGCAATCAAATATGGTACTACTCAATATCCCTTAGTCCTACTACATTATTATACCAAATCCCATAATTTTACTCACTTTATATATCATTTCAAGTTGTCTATATGGTTCAAAGAGGTAGAATATTCCTGGGTGATCTTTGAACAGACGTCCAAAATAAGTTGACCCTGTTCTTTCATAGGAGTGTAGTATAAGCATTCTCCTAGAATTCTTACAGCCATCAAGCATAGGGGTTTCAACTAGAAATCAAACATCACATGTATGGAATTGGTTACTTAGGATCTATTCCCAAGACAGATACAAGATCAGCCAACAAGGATCAGTTTTGAATTGAAATAACGACTGGATCACAAGAATACTGTTTTTTGACTTAATGTGCTATGAATTTCACAGTAACTATTAAGTACTATTCTATATCCCCCTTTACCCATATTTGCAACTCAGCAAATTTTGACTCTCATTTATTCATGTGAACATGTATAATATTCTTACCTCTGCTAACTTGGGTTTTATTTGGCCAAAATAAATTATTCTTCATGAAACACTCTTTTGGGTTGGCTCCCATATAACAACCTTTCATTATAGCTTTCCTGCCTTTCATTTCCCTGTTGAAAGTCTCATTCATTTTATCATACCATTGTGTCCAGTCACTCTCAGACCAAGCTGACATTCTGCTATAATTATCCTTGTTGTTTGATTGTGTTGTCATAGTAGCCATAACATCGATCTCTCTTTGTTGTTTTACTGTATTTTTCTCAGGTTCAGTAATTGTCATATTTTCAATTAAATTAGATCCTTGTTGTGGAATTATAGTTGTTGTTTTTTGTTCCATGGTGTTAACCCCTATAATATGATAACTTGAATTGTTTTGGGAGTATATAGGTATAATGTTTGTGATTGGAGTTGTTTTCCATGATTGGTTTGTAGACATTGTTAATTCTTTTTTGGTTGACTTCAGCATGGTTGTCATAGCTACCAGAGATATTAGCAGCAACATAGCGTTGATCTCTCTTCTGTAGCGAAATCTCCCCATCATGGTAGAATTTAGTGTACAATTTGCAGAGGTAGTAGGAATCTTTGAGAAACCGTGTTATTTAACAGCTGTCAAATTTCAAGCTGTTATTTCATGATACCAGGCGCAATTCCATTGCATCATGATGATTATAATTCATAAATACCGTTTTCATTGAGTAAAGTTTTCTTCACATTGTATAAATCTTGATATCTCACAAGTTCATTACTAGTATCATACTCCCCTGTATATTCATTAGAAACAAGATAACCTATTGAACAAGAAGATTTATGTTCTATTTAATGCGTGCCTGAAACTATAATCATTTATAAAGTTGATGTTACAAAGAATTAGTTAACGGTTAATGGTACTTTTATGTAAACATAATGGTACAGGAAGCTTCCTACTAACATTTTGAAAAGATGCTGAAAATACATGCTGACTAATTTGAACATGCTTTTTCAAATAAAATCAATGAAAATGTCTCATTTTGCAGCAAATATAATTTTCAATTTTAAAATGACACAAAAAGTTAATATTAATATCATACATTATTATTATAATTAATATTATATCATACATATTGTAATGGGTCATATTTTCTATCATACCTTCAAATGTCACTTATATCCTCTCATGGGCTTTTAAGAGATACACATGTATACCCAATTTGCAAGGTAGCGTTTAGTTGAATCATTCATGTGTGAAGACGCCTTAATGAATGCCAGTCATGTTGTGTTAATATTTATCATAAGCATGACATCGTTGCCTTGAAATGTTTATGTTAAGAATTGTTTTAAATTGAAACCAGTTCATTATTTTCCGCAAATTATTTTCACATGCATATGATTACTTCAAAAACACATAATAGATTTGGAACACTTACACAGATTTTACTGTAATGCTTAATTGTGAAACGTAAAAAAATTAAATATTTGAAAATATCAAGAAAAAAATCCATTTTACTATTGCCATACATTTCTTGTTCCAATGCAATACAACATTCATGCATATACTACAGGGTGTCCCAAAAATAGCCTGTTTCCACATATGCAATACTACACCAAGTCATATACTACAGTGAATTCGCAAACATCTTGTCAATATTTTCATCTTGTACTACCAAGCCATATGCATCTTCCCATGTAAGATGCCTATTTACAACATTTTCTGTTACTGGCAAATAACCTGTTTCCACATATAACGGGTAACAATATTCATCAATTATTTTTGTTAGAGCAAACATAATTGTGTATTCTCGCCATTTATATGGCTGTGTAGTACTATTAGGATTTTTCGAGTAAGCAATAATATTCATCAAACTATTGAAGTCTAAATTTTCTTCGATGAAATTGTAAACATCGATCATTGTTCTTTCAGTATATTTAGTCAGTTCTTCATAGCGTAACTTCATGAACATATTTGGATATATTTTCTCGAGTTCTTTCCTCATAAGAATGTCTTTTAGCATTCGTGAACACATCTGTTCAACCTCACTAGTTAGAGCTTTTATATCAAGTTTTTTTAATCCAGACCATTTTGCTTTATAACGAGAATTGAACATTGCTCTGGGATCGCGGACTAGCTGAATAACTTTGATATTATTTGTGCATTCCTGATTGGCTAAGAATGCAGCTATTCCTTCCATTGTGCCCCGTACTGTCTTAGTCAGCAATATCTGAAAATATGAAAAAGACCTTAAGTTTTTCCCCCTTGAACATGTGGTATTTGAAAAAAAACATATCACTTGGATTTTAGAACTTTACTTGCACATTATGTTCACAGTTGAAATATTTTTATAGATCCCAATGCAAAATGAGTCATAAGATGACATATACCTGTGTCCTTGTTTCATTCTTGCAGGCTTCAGTTGCGATTTCATAACATTGGTCTAAGTGTTCCCTTCTTGTTACATTGGCAGGGTGTCTACCACTATGGTACAGCATGATACATTCTAGGAAGTCATGTATATTATAAGAGAGATAGAAGTTAACATTTCCCTCTTTCAGTATTGGGTCAGCAAAGGCAAGTATATCCTTCAGAGTGCAGGTCCTGTAGTCAGTTAAAGTTTTCACTTCTTCCTGTATGATGGCTGAACTAAGGTGGGTAGATCTTGGGTATTGCATTTTCTGGAAACATGAACATTTACAAGGAGACCGTAACGCAAGTTGACATTAGATAATTCAGATTTCATGTGACAAACTAGCTAAGGCTGCTGACATATGATCAAAATTAGAGTAAGTATGGAACTTACTTATGAACTGATGCAGTAAATGCTTCATTGACTCATTAAACATTGGGAAAAGCTTCATCTAGAACAGTATGAATTTCCACTTCAACTCTTAGGCTTATGTTTGCCTACTAATTTCAAACTTCAGTAAGTTTAAAAGATGTTTCACCCCTTATATTCTCACATACTGTTTCTCTTACATGAAAGATCTGCTCCTGAAGACGGTAGGGCTCAAACAAGTAAAACACTCCAGGGTTGTCTTTCATAAGACTTCCAAAATAACACGAGCCAGTTCTCTCATAGGAATGCAATATCACCAGTTTCTTAGAGTCTGCACATGATGCGTCTTTGCCAGGTTCACCTGAAAGTATTTGAATGGGTTATAAAAGTTACCCATGAATAGCTTTTGAACATTGAACAAATCTTGATATCTCAATGTTTTACTTAAAGGAAAATTCCTTGCCAGACCCTTTCTCTCTTGATATGGTAGCTATAATCATATACCATATAGTTTCCATATTTAGCAAAACATGGGAAAATGTTTTAATATGGTCAATATTGATCATTTAAAAATCTAGTGCTTATTTCCAGTGAGCTGCCATCTTTTAAGATTTCTTGCAGGAAGTGATGTCATCAACTCTCAACTTCTATAACCTTGCCCATAACAGTATGGGAAAGTAGCACAAAATCACTTCTAGACAAGTGATCATTACTTTCTGTGCAAAAATATTTTCATGGCTTGTCAACTTAGAATAAAAGAAGAGCTTTTCAGAAGGATTAAATAAGATACAAAGTTGAAAAAGAATATTTATCTGGTTTTGTAATTCTTAATAGCTCCTCACCTAATGCTATATGCAAAGTTGAGAGTCGATGACATCACTTCCTGTGTGAAATTTTAAAAGATGGCAGCTTACTGGAATTGAGCATCACATTTCTAAGTGATCAAATTTGACCATATCAAAACATTTTTGCGTGTTTTGCTAAACATGGCAAGCATATATATGGTTATAGCTACCATATGAGGAGAGAGATGGCTTGGCAAGGAATATTCCTTTAACATTAAGGTTCACAATACCCTTTCAAATTGTTAGATTTTGCCTCTTAAAAGAGAGCTTGCTTCAGTCAGAGTAATTCATCTTAGTTCTCTTTGCCTCAGGGTAGACTTATAATTAGTGAGATTTAAAAAATGATGTGATAGGTCAAATGTATGAATTTTACAAATACCTTTATTGGCAGAATATTTTCGAATATTTGTGCTATTTGGCCAGAATAAATTATTTCTCAAGAAACATTCTTTTGGTTTCAATGCCTTAGTACAGATGATGTATATATGTTGTCTCTTCTCATCTACTTCACGCATTGATCTGTTGAAGCTTTCAATCCAATCAGTGATATCCTTCTCCGACCATTTGTAGAGGGGCAATCTGGATGGCTCATCTGATCTCCATGTGCTAGTGCTTTGCTGTATCTTCGCTGTTGTTGCTGGACTTATTGTTGTTTCTGAACTTCTTATATTGGGTGTTGTAGGATTGGGATCTTTTACTTCATTTATGACTGTGTTTAATTTGGAGGTTTTGTCAGTGATCTCAGATTCATCAATCGTATTAGATATTTCCTCAAGATTTTTCAACTCTAATTGTGAACTTGTTGTTGTCTCAAAGGTTAACATTTCATCCGAATATTGTGTTACGGCCGAAATGACTAAGATATCTGACGGAGATTTCATCTTTGTTGTTTTTTGTTGTTCATGTTGAATAAACCGCTCAGTGTTTTCAGAATGCTTTTGTACATTTTCTTTTTGTCTGCGTTGAAGCTGAATAACTTTGTCTTGTGAGTTGTAAATTGTGAGAATAGCTATAAGGGTTGTTAGCGCCAGTGTAACACTTATCTCTTTCTTATATTTCATTCTCATGTTGTCCACTTCTTATCTCAATAATTCTTAAGTATCATCTGCATGTAAAAATTTACCATTTTATGAATATTACCTCTAGAATGTGAAGAAGACCCTGGAATCTCTTGAAATTTCATATATTCAATCCATTATATACATACAGTTGAAATCTATTGCTGTTTCTCTGTTTTCTTCATTAGTATAGATGCTGTTCATTCATTAACTCTCAGTTTTCTGTGAAGGAAATATCCAATCACTGGACACCTAAATATGTCTAAGTATATGTCCCTTTATACTTTTCATCCTTATTTCCCTTTTAAAATTGTACAGTTTACCATCAGAAATGTTGTGTACATACAGTAAAATGTACAAGTACAGTTAGAGTGATATATTTCAGGATTTATTTGTTTCATTATATAGTTGTTGTAATAGTTGAAGTCAGTAATGTACATTTACAATATTTCTGTACCCTTTAGCCACTATTAATAATATCTATAGCTAACACGCAGAGGTCACTGTAAATCTAGAACTAACAAGTGAGGGGGTGCTTCTGATGAAAAAATGTAAATCCTTTGCCTATTGATGTTGAATTGGGCTCATCTGTATAGGGGGCCACATAATTATTTCAGTAATTAATTTAAATTTGGCATTCTCCATACTCCAAAAAATGTTATTGTTAATGTCAGTAATTTGGCCTTGTTCCTGAAATACCTTAAAAGCAGTTTTCACAAAGATGGCGTATTCATGGTATAAAACCCATGCTTTTTTAAAAGTGAATCAAATAAAAAATCTGATTTATTCATCATTAAGATGTTTTTAAGTGAGTGTGATTTACTGTATCAAGTATTGATCTTTTTTGACCTAACACAATAATTTAATTTGCAGCACTTTATTTAGAAAATTATTTAAATTGACAATTCAAATGCCATGAAATAGGATTTAGTTTATGGATACATTCTTCGGAGTAAATCCGTATTTCATAATAAGCATACTTATGTAATATATACTAGCATCTTCAATGACATCTGAATCAAACTTTGTAAATACTTGAGGGTTCCAAAAACACTCCATAATAACAAATATTTGGTAAGAATGAATAAATAAAAAACAATCAATATGTTTATGTGATTTTAGCTACTTGGAGATTTATAATGAAAGAGTACGTGATTTGCTGCGGCTCAACAAACAACATACTCTCAGAGTTCGGGAGCACCCCAAAGATGGACCTTATGTTCAAGGTATCTTCCTCTTATATACCACATTTGTAGAGAAATCAATACAGTGCCAATATGCAAGCATGAACTATTTGGGAATTCTTTTTGACACTTGTCAAATTGTGCATTTTGCACTTATCTTCCATCAATGAAAATCAGTATTAAGTAGGATTCACATTAAAAATGAATAGATTCAGTCATTCTTATTAATTCATATTTTGTAGATTTATCAAAACACCTGGTTGGTAACTATGAAGACATTGAGGATCTCATGCAGCGAGGAAACAGCACAAGAACAACGGCTTCTACTAACATGAATGACACTAGTAGCAGATCTCATGCTATATTCACCATTGTATTCACGCAGGTAAGCAACATACATGAATGACACTAGTAGCAGATCTCATGCTATATTCACCATTGTATTCACGCAGGTAAGCAACATACATGAATGACACTAGTAGCAGATCTCATGCTATATTCACCATTGTTTTCTCACAAGCAATAATCAGAAAGGTCCATGTGCAGTATGGCAAGTGATTTTAGCTGGTCATATCTTTCACCATGGGTACTTTCTGGCCATCAATACAGTGGTTTTTATGAAAATAATATGTTTTCTTTCAAGTGAAGTCCCCATAATGATAAAAATATCAATCGAACAATTTATATAGGGACCCCATGTCAACATTTTTTTCAAAATGTTGAACCTATTTACTCAAAAGAGGATCTTAAATTTTCAAATTGTTCGATTGATATTTTTATCATCATGGGTACTTTACTTGAAAGAAAATATATTGTTTTAATGAAAAACACTGTATTTAATCCCAGAAAGTATTCATGGTTCAATACATGACTGTCTAAAATCACTTGCCATACTGCACATGGACCTTTGAAGTCTGAATGGGTTTAAAATATTTTTCATTTGATGTAGTTTATGTACAAAATGTGTTCTTAGAGAAGATGAACTAAACATACCTTTGGACAGACTTTTTGTTGATTATTGCACATTTTATATTTTAACCATGATTGTCACTCATCTCATTGTTGATTTTGACAAAGGATTTGTGTATAAATGTTTTGTTTAAGTGTTTAATCCCTTCATTAAATGAAATGTACTTAAAGGGGTTCAACCTTTCTTACCACATCGAAAACTCCCTAATATGAAACCATAGGAACTCGAATTGTGACTCACATATTTAATTGACTGTGTTACAAAGCTTTTTTTTATATAAATACCAAAACCTGGAATAACAGAAATATTTTTTTAAGTAGATATCCCTTGTACTTTCACAAGTGGATAGAAAAGGGTTTAATCTACATATCAGATGTTGTTGTGAATGGACACTTAAAACCATATGAGGTAATTTCTGAATTAATAGGAAAAAATGCTGAAACTTTAATGCAATATAACATTTTAAGAGCTTGTTTAAATCAAGAGAAAATTCATATGCATGGTAATATAAAACCCAGTGAAACACTAGTATTTTGAGAGATAGAAATTGAAAAATTAACATTACAGAAAACCAGGAATAAGCTTGTAAAAGAAAGGCAGTGTGATGTACAATTTAATGGTTTGACTATTGGTTCAGACATTTGGAATCAGCTATTTAAATGTACGTCAGACACTGGTCTTTTAAGTATCCAATGGAAAATTTTCCATGGTATATATCCACATGGTGGTTTATTAAATAAATATAACATAGAACAATCTGATTTATGTAAACTATGTAACGAAGTTGATAACATTGAACACTTTTTTTATACATTGTAATGCAATCAAAAATATTTGGAAAGATGTAGCTTTGAATGATAATGAAAAAATAGGGATGGGAATATTAGATCAAACGTTATTATACAAGTCACTTGTAATAAAGAAAACTATACATGACTTTAAGTTTTCAAATAATGAGAGAAGAAATATATCTGTAATTTTTGAATATGAAAAATATGTTAGAAACATTGTTGATTAAAAAAATGTATTTAAAGTTTTTGAAATATTGATTTGTATGCTAATGAATGATAGAAATAAATTTTAAAAAAATAAATAAATAAATACCAAAACCTGAAAAATATGTCACATACTGACATAGTTAATAAAATCAGTATATATTAAATCCTTTAAGACACTTCTTGGAACTTGCAATGTGGCAAGGGTGTTTTAAAACATGATCCTTTAAGATTCTTTTTGTTATTTGCAGGCCAAGTTTAGTGCTGACATGCCCAGTGAAACAAGGAGTAAGATACATCTAGTTGACCTGGCAGGGAGGTATGTATTCATAAATCTGCTAGGGGAGGTTATACCACGGGGAGTTATACCTTTAATGAAGGAGAAAAAGTTATGATACTTGTATTGCCCCCCCCCCCCTCCATGTATATGCCTCTCAAGGATCATTAAGGTCTCAGATAACATATCATACTAAAAAAATGTTACGATATAAAGAAGTATAAAAGAAAATGGATATCCTATTTTGGCATGTGTGCACCTGTGTCCAAACCAATGAATCTGAAATAGTTTAAGAGAAGTCCTGATTAATCTTCCTGGTTAGGCACAAACCAACAAACACAATTATTTAATTTGTGTAAGTAAAAGCATAGATTTATTCAATACATGTACAAACAAACTACACAACTTCTATGTAAACTCAAAAATATAAGCAATATCCATAAAAAGATTTAACAATACTAGTGTATAAATCTGAGTATAATTTAAAAGCCTGTTAATATATTAAAATTTGTTGCTGTTTTGTTACGTAACCATATTACCATATTTACTTTATTTGGCAAGATATAACTAACTTAAACCTTTGTGGTGAACATTTCAGATTTCGATTTAATAAATGAATTAATAAATACTGTGTATTGATCATTTCAAGTGTACAGAATCATCCCTTTGAACACTCTGAGATTGTTCAATTGTTCAATACATATTAAAAAGAATATAAGATGGCCTATAAATATCACTTCAAATGTTCTACATGTACTTCTGCATGTCAAATTGCTTGATGTTGCTTTTAAATGCCGTGTCACTGATATTTGGACTTCAAATTTGTTTTTGTAAAAACGCTCTTGAGTATTATGTTTGTTTTGCATGGCGGAAACAGGAAGTGACACATACATGTATCAATGCAGAAAATCCAGCAAATAAAATCAAAGCAGTCATTTTTCTTAAAAATATGACATAACTCTTTCGGAATACCATTCAGTAGGGTGAAGGAGGGTAATGTTGACATGTAGGGTAACTTTAAAATAAGAAATCTGGTAACTTTGACACCTGCATGTTAGAAATTTTCCACCACGATCAATTTCGGCAAAAATGAAAAAACAAATTGAGATTTCCATCCTTGCTACAGAAAAACAAAGATTAAATGCTTCAACCTGATTTAGAAATATGAACCAAATGTACAGCAAGATGTCAAAGTTACCCAAAATGAAATGAAAGGCCAGGCCCATAGCCAGGGGGGTTAATCCCAGCCAAAAATTCTTTTCATGCAGTTTTCACCACTTTTCAAGTGATTTTTGGCCAATATTGTCAAATTTGAACCCCCACCTTGAATTTTTTTAATACACCCCCCCCCCCTCCTTGGCTAAAGCTGGCTACGGGCCTGAATGCTGTCAGCATTTTATTTCCTTCCCCTAACCAATCACCATGAGAGTATTATTCAGTCCTTAGCAATCATTCCTCCTGGGACCAACACAAGGGTTCCCACATTCATAGTCCTCTGGCACGCTGGTGCCCCCTGCACATGTGAGGAGCTCGGGCTTCAGGTTACCCCGGGCATCTGCATACACACACTGATAGAACTGACATCTATTGTCCTCATTTACCAAGTACTGACCAATCACTTTACATGCTGGAAAATAAATTAAAATGAATATTATTGTCTGTTTTCTATAATATCTGCCTCTATATATAAGGGGATGAAACATAATTAATATGGACAAAAAATGTTGTTAATAACACGTCCTCTGAAAAACATGATTTAAAAGTCATTGATCTCTATTTTCTTCAAAATGTAACTTAGCTTGTAACATTTCATAATAATGACTTATGCTAGATACACAATAAATAAATATTGGAAAGACACAATCCACCCAAAAATAATAAATTATGATTTATCAATAGACTACATGCGAGTAGAAATAATCTTGATTTACGTCATTAATATTCAAAATTCAGTCAAAGCGATGTCATATTTGAAATCTGCATGTAAATGTACATCTAGAAATATGGTTTCGAAAATTGTCTATCATCTTTGAAAATTTAATTTTTTTGAAAATGTGACTTCTTGTTCGGGTTGATTCCTCATAGACCCCATGTTAGAAAATCACAAAAAGTGAATTATCTTTTCTTGTATTGGACGGATAACATTTTCTTTTACTGGACATATTTTAATTTGCATAACTATTAGATACATAAGGGTTATATGAAAATTGAACCGCGCAAATAGATGTAATTTAAGTTAAAGGGAACTTTCTACTATACTCGCCATGCTATCTGACCCGAACGAGCCACCTGGTGGTGAATCTGGTAACTACCTACTCGCATCTGCGTTATTAAAATTAAATTAAGATCAGTTAAAAAATCACCAAAAGATTAAGAGCCTTTTATTTCAGATTAATTACTTTTGAGTTAAACTCATTCAGTTCGACACACAGTAATGTACAATTTATAAATAGACCTTTGATAAAAAATTTTTCAAACATGTTATTTCATCATTTGTTTTAAGTGGTCAGTACAATCCACTCACAGTTTCTCACACCCTTTTATTATATTGACCATTAATATTGCCCTTGTAAGCAAAATGTTGAGAGGTAGATATTCATACTGTACTTACATCCTTTTGGGTTATAGCCTTTGAATTCACACACAGTCCATGGACCATTGTTAGTGCCTTCTGGACATTGCTTAAGGTTTGGTCCTGTGCATGGGTTGCCTGATCTGTATCCTCTGGGTACACTTGAGCCTGGGGCACAAGGCATGCTGACGGCCTTCAGGTTCAAGTAGGCATCTGCATAGGTACATTGGTAGAACCTACAGGGGTCATCATAGTCTGCCAGGAGTTGACCATTGTATTTGCAGTCTGGAAGCACACAAATATATAAAATCTGTTAAGTTTTTTTGTATTGAATTTAGAATCTTAACTTTTTCTAATCAGATGTGTCGCTCTTTTGAAGTGATATTTGGAGGGTCAAATCAAGTTTATATAAAATGCTTTAATAAGTTATGACATCAGTCAGAGACATTAATGGCGTGAAAGTGAACAAAGATTCATTTTCATTAAAAATGATATTTATATTAAACTTGTTAATATGCCAGTATGCATCGTTGCATATTACAATTTTTGTATCTTTGTTGAATATAAATAAAGGTTTTTGAAAGCGCATTACAATTTTTGCAAATTACCTTGAAGTAGGACTTCAAGCATTAGCATAAAATTAGGAGAATAACAATGAAAAACATAAAATAAAAGTGTTGTTTCATACTTCATGAATTTATCACTAAGAAAAACTCTACTTTCCAATTTCAACTTCCAAGTTCAGTGTGAATTTAAAATGAAGTGAAATATTTAAATTGCCAATGTAGCAAATAGTTCCCAATATTATCATTTGAACTTAACTAGTTAACTTAATTCAAATTTGAACAACAGTCAATTCTTAAAAAATTACTCTATCATAAATATATAGACTATAATATAGAACCCAACATTACTGTTTGAACTTAACAACTTATTTCAATTAGATTTAGCAATACCAAGCTGTAAGGCAATATTACAATAATTATACATTACTTTTAGATTATTATGTATGTTTTTTTTATATCTTTAAAAGAAATAAAAGTCTTCAAATCTCTTACAAGCAATCTAGAAAATTTAGTTTTTCATTTCTATTTACCTGGAGCCCCTGATTTCTCAACAGGTGATGTAAGAACTGTAGCGCTAGTATACAAAAGTACACAGGCAATGTAGAGAGAAAATCCCATCTTGTAACTTAAACGTTTAATCGAACTTAATATGCGAGTGCAGTCTCAGTTTTAACTTAATGTTTCGCTGATATGATAATTGTCATCTGACTTTTCTCATGAAACTCACCGGCTTTTATAGTTACTGTGTCACGCAGGAGGCATGCATCTGATGGTTTATGATGCAGGACATAAGTGTCGAATTAAGTTATTGTTCTTCAGAAGACATGGGATTATTCAGAAAACACTTGAGGAGATCGTAAATAAAATTGAAGAGTTTATTGTTTTTAAATTATGAATATTTCAGGTGAGGCTTAAATGCCTTTTTGCACCTGATATCTAATGTCATTTATTCTATAAATCAAGAGTCGCATATTTACAGTTTTAGTGGTTACTTAGGAGTGTGATATTTGATCACAAAATATCTTAAGTACATTGTTGATATCAAAAGATAAAACAATGATGTCATCAGTATCAGTCGCTGATATTAACCAATAAAAAGTGAACCTAGACTGAAGTTTCACCAATAAAAGTGAAGAGCTATTTATAAATTGATAATCTTCCTTGTTCCTTGAATGTATTAATAAATAAGAATAAGTTGTTTTGGATGAAAATCAAACTCTAGAAATTATATTCATTGTATATCTGTTTACCAGTCCAAAAGATCAATCAAATTATAAATATTTTTCAGTACAGGAATTACATAGAGACTATCATTTATTCTTCGAGGGGTATCATTTTGATCCACAAATGTGAATATCTCCAAAAGCTGAGATTATTATTCTGGGTGTACATTCTTCACATTAAAGGGACATACAATCATTTTTTATCTATGATTTCCCCTCAAAGTAACACATCTGTAAATATGACTGTGTTATATAAAAAGAGATCAAGAAAATGAAGAAAAAATAAAAACAAATGACTTCACCTGGATTCAAACCCACTCTGTCTAAGTAAAAGTATTAGAAGGCAATTTGTTAACATTTACATCAATCCATCAACCAGTTCCTGTGTAGTAACGTTTATTAAAATATGTCAATAATTTTAGAAAAAAGTTATACCACTACACTACAATAATTAGAAAATAGTTAATTATTATACCAATAATATTAAAAACGTAAGCATATCTGAGTATTCTAAGCCAAATGTTTTGTCCAGTTTTCATTTTGAAAATCTGTTTCCTGTCATAGCAGATTAAAAATGCAGGACGCAAAAATCTTCTATTTTGATTTCAATTTTTAATTTGATATATACCCATGGATCAGCTGTTGTTGGCAACTGAGCCCATCCTAATAGAAAGTTGAGACAATTTTCCGGAATAGCATGAAAACATCTCTTTTTCTCCCTGTAAAGTGCTTGAAAGTGACTTTAATCCTTTCATTGATATATTGTTATACGCTTAACAAATCTACATACATGTTTAAGAATAGGTCACCATGACAATTTTGGAAATGAATGATAGATTAAAGAAATATTTTTGAAATCGCTTTTGTTTTAAAAGTGCAGAGATCTTTGTCTTTAAGTGATATATTATTATGACGTAGCAATTTGCTTTGAATAGATTGTTAAATCAATTTTGAAACGTTAAAATAATGTGACTACTTGATTGAATAATATCCTTTGTGTTAAAAGTGCAAAGAACTATATGTTTTGTAGTGATATATTACTATGACGTAGCAGTCTGCTTTGAATAGATATTAAATCAATTTGTAAACTTAATAAATAAGTTGTCTAAACTTTTGAACCATTTGTTTATGAAGAGTTTTGCCGTCCCATCACTTAACCTCTTGAATCCCAGGCTCTAAAATCGGTTGAAACCAGAGATTTTTTCATTTTTGCCACCTTTTGACATCATACTACATACCTATACAACTTCAGATGCTCAATTTAGTAAAATTAGACGGCAGAGATCATTTCTACACATTTTAAGCAACTTTTGTGTAAATTGGATGAAAATTGTTCATTAAGAGCAATTTTAGTGAAAAATTTTGTGACAGATTTTCTCTTCACTCTGGGTTTCAAGGTCATTTCTGAGGTGACAAGAAATCTCGTCACTCCAGGTAGTCAAGGGGTTAAGCAGTTCCTTATTCATGAACATACAGGGAACTCCTTTTTATTTGAATTGTAATTTATTGTTATGTTTTCAATCTAATCATGTGATCATTTATTGAATAGCAGGTGGTGCTGAATTGAAGATGTCATTAACACATTTTTTTTATTTACCATGTTAATTTGTCAAATTAATATGCCCAATAGGGAGCCATCCACTTGAAAATGTATAATTCTAATATTGGAAATAAATAAATATATAAAATAAATAAATAAATAAATTACATGATGCATATGTTTGTTAGTGCATGATTTGCTCAATAAATACAGCTACCTAAACATAGGGGTATCATATTTTATCATATTATATATTATATTATGTTATATTATATTATGTTATCATACTATATTATGTTATCATACTACAGAGTGTCTCAAAAAAAATGTTACACTCACAAAAAGTTCAATATCTTTTATATTTTGACTTTTCCCTAAAATATACTTTGGATACCAAAAGACAAATCTTTCTCGAATAATTTGACACCTTCAAATTCAAAATCTGTCATTGATTGGCTCCACATGACAGCTTTTAGTGTCCCATGGTAAAATCTGACTTGCGCCAACCTCTAAGTGCTTGGATGGACCAAATGACAAAAGAGGAACAGTTTCTTTAATATTTAACTTTGTTCTGAGTAGAAGCCTGACCTTAAACTGAGTCATGTAATTTTCCTATTTGTCTTACATATGATCATTGGGTCTATCCACATAAACATGTGATCCCCTCAACATGTTCTCCAAAGCAAATCTGAGGTACCATTGCCCATGTGCACATGAATTGTAATATCACTCTGATTCTATCAATTATTTTTGCAGAAGTTCATTTAGGTCAGTTTGTGATGCTGTAAACCGCTTTCAGAGGCCCTTCAAAAACTCAAGGGTGTAAAGTGGGATGACCCTGGGGGCCAATTTATTGGGTAATTCAATGCTATCTTCTGATTTCCAAAGAGTTCTACCAAACGATCTGCCACAGGCCTTTGCATCATCCTGTTGCCATCATACGTAACAAAATTGAACACTCTGACAATGAAATCTTGTATTTCTATCCAGGAAAGAAACAACTGGATCATTGATCATATCAAGATAACACTGTCAGCAGCATTCACACCAAAAAAGAATTGATCACCTATGTCCAGCCACTGAGAAGTTGGCGCAAATCAGATTTCACATGCGTTTATAAAATCTGTCCTGTGCAGTCAATCTTAGACGGATTTTGAATCTGATGGTGTGAATTTATTCGAGAAAGACTGGTCTTATGGTATCTAAGTACATTTTAGGGGAAAAGTCAAAATCATGAAAGATATTGAACTTTTTGTAAGTGTAACATTTTTTTTTGAGACACACTGTATATTATGAGATATTGTTTTCTGTTCACCAGCATTGGCCATGAACATATACAGCAACAGTGATTGAAACAGGCAGACAGAGCTTTTTAGGGCCCCTTTTTATTTGAAATATTTTATCATTTTTATCACAATTTATGTCGGTGTTGCTATGCAATAAAATTGTTTGAACTTAAGTCTTAATAAATCCTAATGATTCCAAGTAATTAATAGTAGTATTGGTAAAAGGTTCATTTTCAAATTGCTCTCACCCTTATGAAAAGTCCCAGGGGCATTTGGGGGCAGTCACCAGTAAACGCCCATGTCAATTTAGTAGAGAACAAAAGATTACCGGGGTCATTTGCCCCCGTCAGATGTGACAGGGGTTGGCCGGGTCCCCGGTTTGGGGGACATGTTAAACTCTCATTGACTTTTAGATTGCCGGGGTTGGTTGCCCCCGCTCCCCCGGCACACCCAGAATTTCTTCCAAAGTTGATGCCCCCGGCTTCCCCTCGGCAAGCCCTTGTCACTGAATAATTCTTTTGCTTGTGTATAGAGGGCAATGCTACATAGTTAAGGTTTGGAAACAGTTACAATTATTCTATTCCTATTATGAGAATTGTGACGTCTTGTTAACAGTTTTCTTAGAAAGAAATATCTGCCCATAATTTTATTATCAATATCTCACCACAGCTATGACATATTGTGGTCATATCCCAAATAATCGTAATGTTTTAAATTCATAAATCACTGCTCATCAGATCATCAAGCTTCCATCTGTAATTTGATTTTTGATTTCACACATTGCTATATACACTGTACAGGATGTTTCATACTGACTGTCCTATCTACAGTCAATCCTAAATCACATGACCCCTTAGTCTGTATATCACAGTAAAGCTCCTTCAGTTCTTGTCTTATGAACTAAATATTGGCATAATTGATTTTTGGGAACATAGTCTTTGAACTTATGTTTGGTAGTAATCATCACCCTAATTTGCTAGATTAATGGCCTACATTCACGAAGGGTTGAAAGAAAGGAGCAGATAGTTATATAATCCATTGTGTCATTAAGAGCTTTAAAATAATAAATTTTTCTTTTAAATTTTAAGATTTATCCTCAGGATCTATCAAGTGCTACAATTGGTACATTCCTGGAGATAATGCTGTTCTGAACCTTGGTTATCATTGCTTTTAACAGAACACACAGCTACAGAAAATATGACTATTTGATAATATGCCAAAGCTCAAATAGACACCTTTTGTAGTGATATTTAGCAAGTGGTAAACGCTACTGAGCTTAATCAAAGTTGCTTCAATAAGTCAAGAATTGAACATGCTTTCATATGATATATAACGCATGGATGTTTGTCATCTAGGAATGGCGATAGATGGGGGGACATTCATTATGAAACACCCAGTATATTATATATATCTCTGTGAAGGATAAAACAAAAAACAAAGTCTATAATCAGCAAATCTACAGGACTTAGAATTACATATGTATAGTTTTTATATCAAACATTGGCTTTCAATAGAGATGGTGTCAATTTTTTCCTTTTCAATATTTAGACAAAAAACTAATCTTTTCATTTATTAAGCAACCTCTTTAACATGAGTTCTAGGACTTTACTCTTGGGTATAGATACGACCTTGTAATAAAACTTATTAAAATTGTTGGGGTATAGGACTCTGACATAAATCTTTATCCTATTCATGTTCAAACCTATTTGGAATATACCAATACGCGATAAAGTTTAATTTCGTTCAGTTTAGCTGCCTCTCGTTTGAAGAGCTCTCATGTATGGTACAACTTCGTCTACATCCGGGTTCTTTCCCATTGGATTACACAGGGGTGCTATTTTCAATGCCGCACTGCGACTCTATTAAACATTTATCTAGCGTTTCATTTGCACAAACGATAGGTTCGTATGTAATTAAGATATATGACAAAGCTT